ATAATTCAAGCTTAAATACAGTTTCTACCTCAACTGGGATTCTAAACCACTACAACTTGGTTCAGAGGGCAGATAGGAAGTTCAAGGCTCTTCCAACTTAGGTTTTTATAGTAGGGCTGGTGTCGGTATTGTGAACTAGTGTTTGGTATTATACCTGCTTAAGGCAAAGCAGTGACTTATGCAGATTGTTATGGATTGTATGATTAAATTTATAATTTGACATAGTCTTCAGTACCATTAAGCTCTCATAAATTTATTTGGGATATTAGAATATGTTGTGATGTGTTTGCTGGTATGCCTCAGTAAGTGTAGGTAGGTTGAATTTTATTATGACCTATAAAATAATAAAGACATATTTTAATGATGGTGAGCCTACTGGCTGAACATCATTATAGGATTTTCATATTTATTTAAAGAAAATTTATCTCTTGCTCCCTCGTTTCCATGGACTTTTGAATAGGCTTGAATTGGTCTTCTGCCATTAACGACCTTCGCCGGACTGGTGGTCCGATCTGGCGATATTTGAACAACTTCTTTGTGGCTCCGTTTTTCGGCCGTATGCCAACTCAGACGGAGATTGATGCTTTATGGAATGCAGACGAATATGATAGTTGGCCGTTCCGGGATGCACTAAACCTGCGAGCTTTTCGCAACATGCTAGAGAGTCTCACTGAAAACCCCATAGAGTCGGTTGCTGCTGCTGTTGCTGCTTTATGGCAAGCACCCACGAGGCTCGAAGACGTATCACCATTGAATGTCACTACCAGTCAAGGAGTTGGGATAGACTCAAGTTTTCCGGACGAGACATTTCTCGGTCTACCCGAGTTGGGAACAAATTTAGTAAGTATTTTGTCAACCTATTGCTTCATAATATGTGACTGATGAGATAAGAACGATGACCAAAATAAAAGCTAAGCAATTGCATTTACAACCTGTATATTCGAAAGGCTTACAGAATCAGGTAGAGTGCATATTAAAGAGTTGGTGTGTATAGAAGCTGAACAGAGAAACAAAGGCTATCTACCGCGTAGTGAAGGGCTAATAATGAATTGCACCACAATAAGTTGAACAGACCACACAAAGAAATCTACTCGCATTTAGCCTTGCTTCCAAAAGATAATCTCATTCAGAGGAGACTGCATTTTTGGCCTTGTCTGGGGTACATCACATCCCAAGCGGAAATCGAACCTGTGTAGTGCTACAGCTACAACACAACGCCACGATGACCATTTGGTCAGAAGTAAACTTGAAGGTAAGCTAGGCCTCTCCCAAGTCACATATTATAGTGAGATTGTTGCAAACCTTTGTTAGGTATTGTAGCCGATACCGTTGATTGTTTAACAGTTGTTTTCACCCTATTTCAGTTGAAGTGGTCGAGAACTGGTAGTTAAATTTTCTCACAATAATATGAGTAGACCCCATGTTTGCATTCAATTTCACATGGCCCTGCTTCCCAAAATGTATTACAATCCAGACTAAACTGCAATTCCGACCTCGCCTAAGTCTCATTAGAACCCTCAGCATGGCTCGAACCTGGGTAGTGCAGTTTATAATATCGACACGTTGATTACTGCGTCATATTGCTATGAGTACCATTGGGTCACAGGGCGGAAGTGAATTTCGATGAAGCCTAGGCCTTTCAATA